ATGTATGTGCTAAACTGGAATTTTTGCCTCACAACATCTTTTCACGAAGCATGAGTGTATCAGAAAACATGCGTTTGAAGACATCACTGGGCTATGTACATTTATTTCTATGCATATGCACAAGCATTCAAAACACAGCATTATGAAATACAGTCAGGATTTAAGTAAGGAAAATTATTTTTTTCTTATTAAAAACCTAAATGTGTTATATATATTGTAGACATTAAAATTATTCTTTTTGTTGCTTGTTCAAACTACTTATTTAAAATGAGCTGAAACAACACAATTCTTGAGGTTTCATTGGGACAACTGATTTTTTTTTTATGTCCCACAATCCACATAAATTTGTTGTTAAAAGTGTTAAATTAATCGATTTGTGTTGGGACAAATTGTGTAGAGCCCTGCATTTTTTTACAGTGTACAGTATATATATATATATATATATATATACATACATACATACATACATACAAACACACACAAACACACACAGTCAGAAATAAAGATACAAAATCAGTCACTTTTCAAATGTACACCTTTGTACAATACTGGAGGACATGAATAACTTTAGGATACACTTTTATACATATTTTAGGAACAAAAAAGTACAATTTGAAAGGGTACCCCCTGTGACAGATTTTGTCACCTGTCACCCCCAGTGACAGATCTTTATTTCTGAGAGTGTACACATAAATATATATTACATGCAGTACATATGGGAAAAGGAATAAAACATAATAGTTGCTACAACAATAGTTTCCTCCACCATGTTATAGTACCTTCCTCCAATTTTTTATGTGAAATTACTGACTAGGAAACTCATATTTGGAATAATTCTACAATATGAAGGCACTGTTATTAGATGCAACATTTTCCAATTAATCAAATGACATGATGTACTGACATTTGCAGCCTTCATTCATTCATTCATTCATTTAGTCATTCATTCATTCATTTCCTTCGGCTTTAGTCCTTTGTTTATCAGGGGCCACCACAATGGAATTTAACACCTTCTGCAACGTGACATAAGAGTGCGGTTTTCCTGCCCACCAAATTGATTGAAAGATGCCATGTTTCCACATAACTTTTATTTTTGCAAAGAAACTGGGATTAAACATATGTTACAACTCTCTGTGATCATCTCCACATCAATAATTAATTTTATGAGTTCAAAACATTTTTTTAAACAGAGCATGATTGTAATAAAGAGAGTAAAATCGCTATGTAATTCTTAACCAATATAATCACCACAGCCGCATGGTGTCAGTAACTGCACGTATGTATGTTCTGCAAACTGCATTTGTGTGTGACTCATCGATTCAGAAAGGCTTGAATAAACTCCACGGCAAATACATCAAATAAACTTATTAGGTATTTTTGACTATTTTAGCTTTATTTGTGTCTGACTCTATCCCTGACTTCTGTTTATCTGATGTAACACATGAGAAGCAGACATGCATGTGGGAGCGGTGGGCGGGGAGAATCAGCTCATTTGGATTTAAAGCCACAGGCAACAGACACCAAAATAGGCTGCTTCTACATTATATAATAAATTATCTGATGGGTATTTTGAGATTAATTTACAAACACATTCTGGAGACAACAAAGGCTTATCTTACATCCTGTAAAAGGGGTAAAATAGGTGCCCTTTAATGCATAATAACCTACTTTGTGCCTATTTTGTTAGTAGATTACATGGACCTGAATATCATGAGCTCTGTTTCTATTAAACCCGACATGGACGCAGGCTGGATTAGGGATATATTTCTGTAGGACAAGTACCATGATAATATACCATGATACAGTATATATACTGGTAATCAGTCAGTACCATCTGATACCATGACAACGCCACAGTACTTTTCCGTAAGTGTGTATCATTATAAATCCATATCCAGCCTGGCACAACCGAATGCATGTCCAGAGCTGTGGTGGCCAGAGGCAACTGTCAGCGTGTGCCGCTGAGGGAACGAGTGTGTGTACATGTTGAAGTGTGTGTCTGCGTGTGTATGTGAGAGAGTGTGTGTGAGGCAGAGAAGTGCGGGGGCTGAGGGGTGGCAGACTGTCTATCTGTCAGTCACAGAGCAGTTGCTTGTCAATCTGGCACCCTCATCTCCTGCCATCATCATCTCTGCCTGACCCTGTACACACTTCCATCCATTTTCTCAGTTTCTCACGCACACACCTGCCAAAGCATGAAAGCACGAGCTGTATAGTAGTGCTAGAATCCATCATAGTGAATGTATAAAAGCTTATTGCTGTATATACAGATTATGGCCCAGAATTACTAACAGCCTGCAGCAACATAAACCCTCTTGTGGTAGAAAATTGTCAGTATTTTTCTAAATTTATTATGTATGTGTTGGAGTTACCCTTTCAGATGAAAAAGGAAGGCATTTAAATTATTCATGCTATGGACTGTGATTTAATAAGGTTTACAACAGATTATTTACTGGTATTGGTGCCATCATATAATGGCCAAAACATGTCTTAAAGTGTAAGGTCACCCAGAAATTAAACTTCTGTAATTAATTACTTGGGGTGTCAAAATTAACTGTTTCTTCGATGCAACATGATGCAGACAAGGACAATTCTGTATTGGTTCAGTGATAGATTATAATCAGTTATTACATACTGACGTCTTTTGTCTCATATACACTATGTTGCGGTAGCTTACTATGGCGAAGTAGGCAACGAGTAATTAAAACGCAGACAACTTTATACAATTCACTGCTTGTGAGTTTGCTGGACAGTCTTTAACTGACACTGAAGTTTTAGCAGAACCTAGGAGCTTCTATTTCACTGCTATGGAGAAAACGAAAGCTGTAAACTGCATTTCTGCTTCTCTCTCTCTCACTGTGAACCTTTTAGTTGCTGGCCTATTCGTTAGGTAACTTTTCCTTTCCACTTTTGGCTGTTATAGCAATAGTTGTGGATCCAGACACAAGCGTTTCAGTGCAAGTCTTCTCCACCACGTCTATCACGGATCAGCTGTTTATCAGTTTACCAGTTTCCGTGTCACTCATCGGTGAGGGCCGATCATTGCATTTTAGGTTAAGTACGTGAACACAATGACCAATCACAGGCGTTTAAAAACTCGCTCAACAATGCTCAAAAAGCAAGCGGGAGTTTTGTTTTGATACATTCAATTGCACCGAGATATGCAATTGAACAGAATCTATGGGATCTATGGAACAGAATCTATGATAATCGTAACCGAACCAAACCATGAGACTAGTGTAGGTTCACACCCCTACTAATTACTGAAACGGGTCACCTGCTGATGAATTAACTCAGATGCGCCTATGCTTTGCTTTAAACAGAGGAATTCACAAGCTGGCATCTGGGGATATATGTCATTGCACAGTTCTCTTGAACGTGCAATATACTGACACTAAGGAGAATAAACTGCTGAATAAAGTCCTAGCTTGATAATACTCTGATTGAACACATGGTCTGTTTTTTTGGCAACTTTCTGAACATTAAACGAGTCAGGAACTGTGCTAGTGCTGAATGATATATCGACATAAAATCGCATTTGCAATTTGGCTTAAGTTCTGTTTGTCTTGCACATCATGTGAGGACAGGTACAGTGATATGATCAGTAGTAAATGTCCTCCGAAAGCCAGAGGGCGCTCTTGCGAGTAACACAGAACAATTAAATATGACCCAAAGTAACCCTGGAAACACCAGTCTATGGTAAATCCTTATAATTTAGGATAAACAAGATACAACTGCTTTCATTTGATTCAACAAGATTAATAAACACATGACCACGACAACATATGCTTTATCTGAGTTCTTATTGTAATTTTCCTGATAATAAAGTACATAATGGGCAGTGGTGGGTCAGTTAGTTCAGTTAGTACTGTTGCCTCACAGCAAAAAGGTCGCTGGTTTGAGTCCTGGCTGGGTCAGTTGGCATTTCTTTGTGGAGTTTGCATGTTCTCCCCGTGCTCAAGTCGGTTTCCTCCGGTTAACCCGGTTTTCCCCACAGTCCAAAGACATGCGGTACAGGTGAATTAAATTAACTAAATTGGCCATAGTGTATGAGTGTGTATGGATGTTTTCCAGTCCTAGGCTTCAGCTGGAAGGGTATCCGCTGTGTAAAACATATGCTGGTGGTTCATTCCACTGTGTATAATCCTGACCCCTTAGGAATAAAGGGACTAAGCTGAAGAAAACTAAATGAATAAAAGTACGTAATTGACTATCGCATGATGATATTGCATCATATTTGAAATATTTTGGAAACTTTGTCAGAAAATTATGGCTTTTTTGAGTTAACACTGCTCCAGCTAAACACATGTTCTGGAGATTCAGAGCTGATCACAGAGTTACCTTTATAGAATAATCACATTCCATTTATCATTCAGCCCTAAACCGTGCTGTCAATGGAGGATAACAGAGCTCTCAAATTTCACCTATATGATCCTAATTTGTGTTCTGAAGATGAATGAAGGTCTCAGGGGTTTGGAACAACATTACGAAGTGTAATTAATACCATCATTTTAACTTTTGGGTGAACTAACCTTTTAAGCCATTTTGTGATAGTTCATTCTGTGATAGTTGTTATAGGTGGAGGAATGAAGCTTGCATGGTTAAAAAATAAATGAAAATAAATTCAACACTCATTTTCATTTATTTATATTGCCAGAAGAGGATGTTCTTCCGACATATCGATTGCTAAAAGCATTATTTTAAAGAATTGCACTGCTCTTGGTTGATTGCATTTGTCATTATGGAAATTAATTCCTGAGTTCTTTAATCAGCATATTGTCAGTAGATCATCTGCAAAACTTTTCCCATGAGCACCTTTTATCAGATAGCAGTCTCAAACAAATTTGCATGGTTTAGTAATTTTGGTCATATGAATGCATTTATATACTGAAAACTCCTCCCGTCATCTCTCTAATAATTTCCTGTCTTGTCTTTATGACAGAAGTCCTATAGCACAAAAGTGGTTGAAACACAAAGAAAGGTGAGTAGATATTATCTACCTTTTCTCCATTAGCATTGCCGAGCACATAGCAGCCCATTATGTGGATGAGATTGGGCTCAGGGTTTAATAAACTCATGAATCTGCCAAGTTTCTTCCAGAACCTGCACACAAAAGCTCAGAATGATTACAAAGTCAGGGTGTGTGGTTCCTAAATATGATCGGAGTATACTTTTATACAGAATTTCATTTAATTGAACTGACATTAAATATTAGTTTTAGGCAGAGGAACTAAAACTTTAAGTAGTTGTGATCTTAAATCATTGATCAGTGACTACTTTTACATGGACATCAGTAATTAAATTATTTTTCTTAATCTGAATAAGACAATAATAAGATTAAGGTGTTTACATGAGTTACTCTATGAATGTTCCTATCATGATGCAGTTGTACATGTTCTAGCACATCCTTTGATTAACATCATTGCATCACCGGCATATCCACATTTCCTTAGGAATATCATGTAATTTCGGGTGCTTAATTTTTAATTTGTAGATTCTAACTGTGGTAATAGTTTAATTGCGGTGTTTACATGTCTGTACTGCGCTTTTATAATGCGACTTACATCAGCATACTGCACATGTCTTAATTTCATTTCTGTTTAGTTTGATTATTACCTTAATCAGATTAAATGAATCAAAAATCGCTTAATCAGAGTATTGTCTTAATTGTATTTCAATTGGATTATTGGTGTCCATGTAAATGTACTGACTTATATTAATCAGTAAATAAAAAGGACAAACTTTTTTGGATTAAAAAATACAATGACTAAAGTAAATACAGAGCATAATACAATACCAAAGAGCATGTTCACATATAATTAACAGCAATGTATGAAGGGTTAAAAAGGTGACAAACATGACTTGTCTAGGAAGTCCAGCGGTATCTCCTCTGGGGAGATATTTTGTAAAAATTAGCTTTAAAAGTGGGTATATACAGTCAATTTTTAATATGAATAAAACAGTTTTTCAGTTAATTAGTAATATTAATAACTAATTAAACATTCTAGCATGGATTTTATGTTTAATCACAAAGGTTTAATTTGCCAACAAGCCAAAAAAAAGCTCATTGTTCTGGTGTTGACAATAGATTTATAAACAAAACAAAAAAAAAAACTATTTTAAATCTAGGAAGAAGCAGCTTGGGCTCAACTGCATATTTTTGGCCAAACCTTGCTTGGAAAAAATCAAGATTTTTGCTTGTGCTTATTGAAATCATGAGATGACCTACTTCTGACTGAAGATGTTTGGCTCAATCTATCATGTTTGCATCCCTGAAATAGATTCTGAAAGTCGTCACTATAATCTTATTTCTTTTTATTAATTATGCAGCACTTTTAAAAGTAGAACAAAATGATAGATTCCACGAGCTAGAATTTGTTTTGTGAAAGAGAACACTCACTGCATCATGCCCTCCTCCTTCTCTACTTTCGCAAACGTAGCCACTTTGTTCTTCAGAAGGTAGAGATGACCCGGGCCTCCCTGGAGAAAACATACAAACCAATTTACACAGCACAAAATAACACCAACGTAAACACTCCACATGCACTTTTACGAAAAAGCAAGATATGCAAATTAATCACACACATATTCTTATTTTTTTTCTCAAACCTGACAGAAGATGAGCATGTTCCAGATTTTGCAGCCTTTTCTGTAGGCGGTGAGTTTCTTTTCAATCTCCTCTGAAGAGGGGAAAGATGAGAGAAGACAGATAGCAGAGAGGTAGAGAGGGGAGGGGGGGGGGGTCGTATGAATTTACAGCCCAGTTTTTCATAGAAAACAAATAGCACAGGATTACCACTCTAAGTCAAATGCCAAATTTTTGCCTAATTTTCACTGACCAAGAAGCTGAATTTCCATGACCTATATAATGAACAGTAAACCAGGCTCATGTTTTGAGCAGTCCCTCCAGAATTTTAAGATTCTGTGATCACAGTCCACACAGGACATTTTTCACTGTTTAATAATTAATAACATTATATTTGCATATAGAAAGTGCTCATCTGCTGTGCAATACCTTGAGTTGTCCTAGACACAGCATAGCACTGTGCTTCGGCATTCAGCCACAGCAAAACAATGCATGAAATGCCACACATTTTTCCACAAATTTTGAGGAAGGCACCAAAATTGAGGTCATTTTAGGTAGCAATGATCAGATTTTTTTTCACAAAATCCAGGAGGAACTGGTTGAGCACCGAGCAGAAAAAAATTCACAGACAGAATTTCAACAGGTACAGCCTGGGGACTGCATTTGATTTCTGCTTGACAAGTAGGAAAGGAATAAAATGGCAGTGAAAATAGCCTAACCATAACAATAGGCAAAGCAAACAATAAACACAGTACAAAATACATTTTGATAAATGGGAAGCAAATTTTAAAATGACAAACAAAAATCCTTGATATTCCATAACTTAGACAAAACATACATACATTTCCCTGACTTTTGGTGTCTGCAATAGACTTTTTATACTGTGACTGAGCGAGCTTAACATGCTGCAATTTAAGAAAACACTTGCATTTCCAAAAAAGCCAGCAAATTAAGAAAAGTCTGTTTGACAGCACACATACTACAAATCCTCACAACGCATATCCATAAAAAAACGCACTGCATTTTCACACAATGCAAAGTAATTGATAAAACATGCTGCATTTTCGCACAGTGCAATCAATTAATGGAAATGCACTGCATTTTCCCACAACGTGCAAAATCAACAGAACACAACATAAATGACCCAAAATTGTGATGGCCGCCACTGTGCCGTGACTATTGCTCAGTGAAGTTGTGGGTGATCTTTGAAAGATGAGATTTTTGTTTGTTTTCTCATTTGTGTTTTTTATATTTTTTTCGTCATGGAATTTTTATTTTTGCAAATAGCGTTTTACAACAACCCACAAAACAATCCCCAAATAAAAACAATCAACATCTGAGAAAAAAATAAAAAATAAATATAATAATAATAATAACAATGATTATGATGATTATTATTATTATTATTATTATTGTTATTATAAATAAAATTTTATAAATAAAATAAAAATTCAAATACAGAAAAAAATAATACCCAACCATATACATGCACACACATATACCTTCACTCAATTCACATCTCAGGTTTTTAAGTGATTGAAGAATGCATTAAATTGTTGCCAGTTTTTTTAAAACTGTTCTCCCCTACCTCTGATTTTGTATTTAATTTTCTCAGGTTTTAAAAAGAAGACCAAATATTTGAGCCACAATGAAATAGAGGGGTTGTGGGGAGGTCCAAGACAACAGTATTATGCACCTAGCGAGAAGAGATGCAAAAGCCACAATGTCAGCGTGTCTCCAGCTTAAAGGTTGACACTGGGAGGGAATACCAAAGATCGTAATTAAAGGGCAAACAGCAAACTTGACCCCTAGAATACCAGAAACAATTTTAAAGAAAGTAATCCAATAATGTTGTAACTTGGGACAAAATACAAACATATGACTAAGGTTACATGGTGAAAGATTACATTTATCACACATATCTGAAACACTGAAATATATTTTAAAAGCCATTGAGAGATGAGCTCTGTGAATCATTTTAAACTGTAAAAAAACTCTAGCGCGAGTGGAAGTGGAGGTGTGCAAATTAGCTATGTTTCCATCCAAAAATGCGAATTAACTTCATGCGAAAAACTGGATTGTGACATTAAAGATGTGTGAATAAAGCAGCGTTTCCATCCAACGAGTCAAAGCGAACAAAATTGTCACTTCCTGATTAACTGGCACCAAATAAAAAATAAAAACTGAATTAGCTGTGATAAGAGAAGCTGCATGAATCTTTTCTTTATTTAATAAAAGACTTGCACCTCAGAAGGCAATCCTTACATGCAGTGAACGCACAATGGTGTTTGAAGGTGTGAGACGCTTGATTCTGGTGGTGAATAATATAATAACACTAATACTGAAATGATTAAGGGTTTTAGAATTACCAAAACTACATTTCAGATGTTTTACAATGTGCTCAGCTGGCTGGTTTGTCCATTCACACACATTTTTATCATCAAATGATCTGTTATAGCAAAATCACATGACCTTTTTATGTGCATACTGGAATTTGTTCTGTAAAAGTGTTTCCGTTGTAGTTTATGCGCATCTTTTCTTATCGAATAAACAGTTTATACTACTAAGTTATGCGTATATGTTTTTTACGCATATGCGCATATGTTTGGCATTTCCATTAACCATTTTTTTAATGCAAATATGCAAAATGCGCATAAAAATAGGTGGATGGAAACACAGCTAGTGTCTAACACTGCACTCCAGTAGTCGTCTTCAAACTCTAAGTCAAGTTCCTTCTCCCAGGCCCTGATAGTTTTAATGTGTGAGAGTTATCCTTTGACAAGATAATTGCGTATATCTTAGAAATGATCCCACTCATATGGCCTTTGTATCTTATTAGCCTAAATAACCATAACTTAAATAGCCGGGTCCGTCACATTTCAGAGTCCCTCAAAAACATTTCCATTGTGTTCCGATCTATTTGAAAGTGCTGTGAGAAAATGCAATGCGTTTTCATAAAAAAATAGTTTGTGTTGTGAGAAAATGCAGCAAGTTTTTTAAAACATTGTTTGCGTTGTGAGAATTTGCAGCGCATGTGCTGTCAAATGAATGATCCTTTCTTAATTTGCTGGTGTTTTTTGTAACTGCGCATGTTTTCTTAAATTGCATGTTAAGCTTTCTAAGCCAGCATACTTTTAACATTTTATGATATTTCAGAAATTCCATGACCGATGGGATCTCTGATAGCAAGACAAAACACCAGGAATACACAAAGAGAAAAGAAAAGTGTTTGGGCAATTACACGTACCTAGTATATCATCAAAGGTGGCATGTTCATGATCCTGTGGGCAAAATAAAATTCATCAACCCATAAAAAAGTGCTGCATAAATCAAAAACAAGAGTTTTCAGTTGGTAAATATTACTTGCCTTTTTTTATGGAACATAAATCTAGCATAATATTAGCGATGCATTACAAGCTGGTTTTTACAAAGCGGCAGGGCAATCTTGAAATTTGCACTACTAAAACTTGCATATGAGAGCTGACTGGCACACATCATTAGCAATGTTTAACACGATGTGCTCTATACTGTATAATCCAAACTTTGATTCCCTTTGATCCTGTTTATGACAGCAGTATTAAACTGTACTCACATAGAGAATGGGGATAATGGAGGGGTCGTCCCGGCGGATGATGTTGGGAACGTACTCGGCCTTTGGTACTTTCGATGAAATTAGCTGTTCAAAAACAAGGATGAATAAAACACGTGCTTAATAATGCGCTCGTTGATGATCAAAAAGCTGCACAACATTTAATGAGGACGTGATAATGAGTTCATAAGTAGGCAGCTGGCTCGTATGAAATGATTGAAAGATGTATGTACCATGAGTTTGGGTGGGATGAAATCGTCACCCTCACAGGCCGCCCTTTCTAACTCTCTCTCTTCCTCCCAGTCGACATCATCACAGTCTTCTTCATCCAGATTGCCAGACGATGCCTGAAGGTCTCCACCTGGGGAAGAAGGCATCCGCAAAACACACAGAAACAGAACAAGAGCAGATAAAAGATTAATGAGGAGACAGGTCCTTCATGTTTGAAACAACATAACATGACCTTTGCGAGGAGAAGATCTTATATATAAAGTGGAGAAAGCACACATACTGTATGGACAGCAGAGCATATCTATGGTAAAGGCACATTTTACACATACGTACACACACAGAGATGCAGATGTGCGTGTCTATGTGTGTGATGAATTGCATAATGTATGAATCTTATGAAGCCTCTTATGAATGTTCACTTTTTTGATTTCACAAATTGCATTCTTATAATACAACAAAATAATATATTCATCATAATAATTTAATCACCAGTAAATGCAACAAATACAGTACACTGCATGTAATAATTGAATAAATATTTTATTTAATATATGATATATATAATAATATAATTAATCATATTAATATTCATTCATTCAATTTCTTGTCGGCTTAGTCCCTTTATTAATCTAGAGTCGCACAGCAGAATGAACTACCAACTTATCCAGCATATGTTTTTAAGCAGCGGATGCCCTTCCAGCTGCAATCCAACACTGGGAAACACAGATACACTTATTCACACTCATACACTATGGACAATTTTAGCTTATTCAATTCACCTATAGCACACGTCTTTGGACTGTGGGGGAAACCGGAGCACCTGGAGAAAACCCACTAGAACATGGGGACAACATACAAACTCCACACAGAAATGCCATCTTGCTGTGAAGTGATCGTGCTACCCACTGCACCACCATGACGCTCCTTTTATTCATATAATAAATAGAATTATAATTTAGCAAGGATCCATTAAATTGATCAAAAATGATAGTAAATACATTTTTGTTACAACATATATATTATTAATTTATACATTATATTATGTGATATATTATTGCTTTTAACTTTTAATTTATCAAAGAATCGTGAAAAATAAAAAAAAATAAAATCACAAAAACATCAAGTAGAATCATGTACACTCACTAATTTTGAGGCCTTTTTAAATTTGAAATCAAATGATTTCTCAATTACCATGATAATAAATGTTACTGGCTGTTTAAAAAGCACAAAAATAAATAACATTTTAGAAAAAACATTGTTTAAAATTTCAGTATTTCACACTTTTAATGTTTTAACATATCTCAAACAGTCAAACACTCTACAATATATTTGTTTACTTGTTCAAACTACTTATTTGAAATGAGCTGAAACAACACAATTCTTGAGATTTCATTGGGACAACCTTATTTTTTTGTTCAATCCACATAAATTTGTTAAATGTGTAAAGTTAACTTAATCAATTTGTGTTGGGACAACATGAAATAATTGTGTGGAACCCTGCATATTTTACAGTGAAGGTAAAAATACATTTTAAAATCATCACTAAATGCAAACTTTTAAATATATGTATATCCTCAAAAATACACTACCTGACAAAAGTCTTGTTGCCTACTTTCAGGAATAACAAATAATAACTTGACTTCTAGTTGATCGTTTGTTATCAAAAGTGATTTATAGAAAAGGCAAAGGCCTCAAGATTACGCTTATTTTACCAAAATAAAAAATGATTATACCTTGATTTTTAATTATTTATTTATTATTAGAGGGCAGTAAAATCTGAGTTTGCTTAGACAAAAGTCTTGTCACTTAACAGAAATAATGTACAGTATAAAATATAAAGTCATGGTGCAGTGGAAAAGGAATTAATATTGAGTATGACTCCCATAAGCTTGGAGGACTGCACCCATTCATCTCTGCAATGACTCAAATATCTGATTGATAAAGTCATCTGGAATGGCCAAGAAAATGTTCTTGCAGCACTCCCAGAGTTCATCAAGATTCTTTGGATTCATCTTCAATTCCTTCTTCTTCATCTTACCCCATACATGCTTAATAATGTTTACATCTGGTGACTGGGCTGGCCAACCCTGGAGCACCTTGACCTTCTTTGCTTTCAAGAATTTTGATATGGAGGCTAAGGTATGAGAATGAGTGCTATCTTCCTGAAGAATTTGCCCTCTCCTGTGGTTTGTAATGGGAAGCACATAAGTCTTGATACCTCAGGCCGTTGAAGTTGCCATCCACTCTGCAGATCGCTCACACGCCCTCAAACTGGATGTAACCCCAAAGCATGATATTTTCTTCACCAAGCTTGACTGATTTCAGTGAGAATCTTGGATCTATGCGGACTCCAATAGGTCTTCTGCAGTATTTGGGATGATTGGGATGCAGTTCAACAGACGATTCATCGGAAAAATCCACCTTCTGTCACTTTTCCAAATGATTAACTAGAAGTCAGGTTATTATTTGTTGCTCTTAAAACTGGGATCTACAACAAGACCTTTGTCAGGTAGTGTAAAGCTGTGATCTAATCTGCATCATAATAATCCCAGGGCATGGTTTTAACAGGCATCGTAAGATTCACCCATTTATGAGTGTTCTGTGTGGGTGACAAATCATGTGCATATGCAGAAATGAGAAAAGAGACAACATGTCTGTGTGTAAACTCACTGTCTCTGGAGTCATGGAGAGAGTCAGGCTTGACGGGTGTGGGGTCACTCCAGGACCGGCTGAAACTCTTCGCTTTGCGATCAACAAATGCTAATAACGAAGCGGAGGAGGAAAGCATCACACACACTGCTCTTCAACACACATACATACTCTGGGCTCTTGCCTGAAGCTGGGAAGTGGCACGTTTGAAGATTTTTCCATTTTAGCTTTAAACATGAGAATCAATTTTAACCCGTATACTGTAACCCATATTGATGAGAAAGAGGTGAGTTATTATGAATCCAAATCACACCGCTAGTTGTCAGACAAGAGCACCAAATGGTTGTTTTCATCCTTTTTACCAGATGCCTGAAGCATTTGTAAACCCTGAAAATAATTCATCTGACTCCATGAATTATTGTCAAGCGATGGCATGTTCAAATATTCATAGTGCATTTATAAAATAGCACAAATAAATAAAGAGATGAAATCAGACAAACGTACTGATGACATACAACCATATATAAGCACACTCATTCACTCTGTAACACAAACACACATAAAGATGTCTACAAACAACTCACTCTGGGCCTTCACCCTCCTGCTGCCCACCATCCTCAGATGTTTCCGGAAGTTTCTAGGATAGAAAGAATTTGCAGAAGCACAGTGGGTTGGATGAGAGGTATAAAACAGGAAAGGTGGAACAAACATCAGAAGAATGGGAGATGGAGGAAGAGGAGACAAAAATGAAAATTTTAAATACATTTTCGAACAATCCTTTTATACATGGTATAGCATTTAGCATGGCTGATAATGGACAGAGACGAGTGTTTGAAGTTATACAACAAGCTCAGTGCACTCCAAACAAATCCTCAGTCCCCACAGTTCTTCTGTAATAAACTGAATAAAATAAACAGTTTGACATGCAGGCTTTGGGCTTCTAAACACATTTACCCATTTGTACAGTTTATGAGATTTCATTTCTGTATTTAGCACTTTAAAAGCACACATCTGAGTTGTTAGCTTCAAGTCACCATGAAATCTAAACAGCCAATGCTTACCTTTTAGGAAAATTAGAGTGTTTATTATAAACCATTTACATCTCTCTCTCTCTTTTGTAATTCTTGTGCTCTCATAATCCGTAATGGAAAAAAACTCTATTACCCAACCCCAGTGTTTCTCTAATACGAATAAAGTAATAAAGAATAAAGTTGGTCAAGTTTGGTAATTTTGTTCTCATCTCTAATAATATTTAATATACAAGGAAAATAATAATAATGCCACCTTTAAATTTAGGCCTTACTTAAAACAACATCAGATTTCAAAGAAAATGTTATGCTAGTAGCAGTAGCTAACGGAAAGGAGTTTACATCAAAATGTTGATTAAAGCATAAGAAAAACTCTGGCGATGTGATATAAGCAGTGGTGGGTATCAAATGTATTCATTCATTCATTTTTCTTCGGCTTAGTGCCTTTATTTATCACATATCGCCACAGCATAATGAACCGCCAACTTATCCAGCATATACTTTACACAGCCGATGCCCTTCCAGCTGCAACCCAGCACTGGGAAACACCCATGCACTCTTTTATACACACACACACACACACACACACACACACACACACACACACACACACACACACACACACACACAGTTGACGCCTACATAACTCAACAATAGCATGTCTTTAGATTGTGGGGGAAATCAGAGCATCAAGATGAAACCCACGTGAACACGAGGAGAACATGCAAACTCCAGACAGACATGCTAACTGACCCAGCAGTGGCCCAAACCAGTGACCATCTTACTGTGAGGCGACAGTGTTAACCATTGAGCCAACGTGTCGCCCATTAAAACATTTGAAAAAGCTGTCCTTTATAGTAAATAAAATACAGATCTCATCTTAACATTACACATGAGTGTCAGTATCAAGCCTACAACCTCCTTTTGAATTTTACTTTGTCTTTTTAAATTTTTTTTTGCATGCATGCATTTTTAAAAGCAACAACATGAAGCAAACCACTGATCTATACTTTCATATTCTCCGTTTCTGAATTTGATGTTACAATAGGCAAAATGCAAACACAATTGCATTATTATTTAATTTATTATACGATCAAGAAACTGTAAAACGGTTCTCCACTTGAATAAGCTTTACTTGTGTATATCTGAAGACTGTATGTCACAATGGGAAAAGAGGGGGTAAAAGGAACTTTCATTTCATGCCAATTTTAGCATAACAAAGAAACAATATATTCCTACACATTTTTGCAAGTTTCATATTGACTAAAAAATAAATACATGTACTTTTAGATAGAAAGAGTAGGATTCGGATCCTCAGAAGACCTCTTCGTGTGTTTGTTTATTTTGTTTTCATTTAGTTAGTTAGATGTTTCTGGGAAGTTAGACATTGTTTGGGTTTTGTTCTTTTCTTTTTTTAAGAGCTGCCCATTATCCTTCTGCCAGATCTCGTTTCCCTGTCTTTGGGTTTATCCCAACCATATTATATATTATGTAAATAGTATATTTTTGCCTTACCTTTTTCCTTATTTTTGATTACCCATTTAAGCAGCATCATAACCACCTGGTTGACCTTTTATCCATAGACTATCATTATTACTTTAATTGCTCATTACTATTTATATACTGAGTTGTGTCAGTATATTATTCAATGCAAGTGTGGAGTGCACCTTAAAGGGTTAATTCATGGTTTTTGTTTACTTTGGAAATTATAAATAAAAATCACAGTTTTGAGTACATTTGCTTCTGGTTGTCTTCGTTCACTGTATATATAAATTCATTTCAATTGTACACTAAATGTCAAACCCCATATTCCCCTGAACCAACATCAGGGGTTTGTAACAATACTTTTAATATGCTTGACAAGGACTCGAACAGAAGAAATTTATCAAAAAAAAAAAAAATCTGTAACATGTAAATAAAAGCAAAAAAACGTTTACAGTAAGCAACATAAAGCAGATCACCAGCATCATGGAGACTGCTATTCTGAGATCACATCAAATACCAAACGCTAGAACACTATTTTATAGACTGTGGGTGAAAATAATACAACAAAACTTCCAACAACAGCAAAAGAAGTATTGAATTTGTGATGGAAAAGCATATAATGTAGGTTTCAGTACGAACACTGTATTAATAAAGATTCTGAAAGCTCACTGCCTTTCTGCCCTGTCAAACAATAGGTCATCCGATTTCAAGTGGCATCCATGTGGCTATGAAATGTATGCCATCAAAGTAATTGAATTGTGATTGGAGAGCAGCCATTTGTTTCAATCACAAACCATTTACACACAAGCTAACCACCAACCTTAACATTCAGATGCCCTGTTCATGCTTTAGCTTAATTATTATGGAGCTGACTGCACGGAATTGTAAAATATAATATGCCAAAATTCCTGCATCAATGCTGCCTTAAATAGCTGAAAACCACATATGAAGTGTAAGACAACTTTCATCATGTTGTCATTACTGCAGTTCTGGTGAATCAAAGCAGGTTGAGTTGACCGACTCGTTCAGCTGACAGCCTCCCTCCTCTTGTTAGCACTCAACACTTGTTCTCCATGCATCATGTCACCATGGTTACACTGTAGTGTAGTATAGTAGGAGAGTGTGGAGAGGTAGGTGGTCTTTCCTCATTTGCCAATAAATAACAGGGCAGCTCACATACTCAATACAGAGCAATTACAATAAATGAGAGCTGTGCCAGGCATGAAATTATGAGCCAATCTGTTTTTTGCAACAAAAACACACACACAAAAAAACTAATGGCCACAGTGTTGTTTTTCTTGACATTAACAAGACTTATTTATTTCATTTTTTGCTAGCATGATGCAATTTCTCAACTCTAGACTATTTGAAAGCAGCACTGTGACCTAAAATACGCTGTGCTAAAAACTAATATCCCTACACTACATGCATAGCAGAGGACTTTTTTTTTTTTTTTTTTTACAATATACTGTAGTCGCTATGAGCCTCTAATCAAATCCACCAACATGAATATTTCACAAAAGAGACCAGGGCTTTTTTTAATCCCGCTGTTATATTTGAGATGGCTACAAAGAGCATGATGACAATGCATCTGTATAGCTGTCAGAACGGCTTTTCTCCTTATGTCCATCTTGCTGACGTCCGTCTAAACTGCTGTCAAAGTCAATGTGCCGGCTGACAGGGAAAGAGTGCAGATCTTCATCAAGTTTCAAAAATAGAAGCCTATATCGAGGGAGCCATGCCTTTTCAGCAAGCCATTTTTTAATCAAACGCTCTAATGATCTTAATCCTCATTTGTGAGTGTGCTGAAAATAGAGGGATCAGTCAAAATCGCCGGAGTGTGACATGTTGATCCTCACAGATATATATACATCCGATTTATGCGAGGAAAATAACATCACACAGTTCTTTAGAAGCATCGCCAATCACATGTGCACAACAGAAACAGATCAAAGTTTCTATGAAACGACTAATCAGTGCGATAAGATTGAGTGTTTCTTCCAGTATCTCCATGAGGAAAAAAGTAAAAATACTAAGGGCTTAAGAATGCGTAGTTTACCCAAAAAGAAAAGAAAAATAAAAGAATATGCTGCAATTATTTGGTAACCCTCAAGCTGTTCCAAACCTTTATATTCTTCACTGTACAATGAAAGTGTTTTGAGAAACATCTTTGCCATTTATTTCAAAAGAGTTAAGGTGAATGATCTCAAGAATATGGCTAAGTCACTATAAAAACTATCAGCCATCAAAAGTGGTTGATATGACTCACTATATTTTAAGTGTTCATTCAAGTTGCTCGCTGAAAATCTTGACATCTGCCCTACATCTCTTTGGTGCTTTCATGGGAAGAAGTCAAAACTGATCTGTACATTTAAAATCAACTCATACAGCTCAAAAACTAAAATAATTTTTTCATTAATCTCATAGATCTAATTAACATATAAAGTTGACTCACTGACTGACAAGTGCTTAAAAAGCACCACTTAAAAAATAGGCATTTTACAACTGTTTAATGATTGAGCTTTATCACTTATGAATCTATTCAGCCGATATTCAGCTCAGGTGGGAACACCTTTAACTTAAAGGCCACCTACTGTACGATGAAAATCCTCTTTTGTAAGCTGTTTAGACAGAACTGTGTGTAGGTACAGTGTGTCCACTGACTTACTGGCGTGATAGAAACACAATAAGTCTCTTTATTTAACTTTCCTGACTTTAAAATAGAATCCAAATCCCTCTCAACCACAACGTGATCTAGGAGTACGGTATCCCCACCCACCGAATTAATTGAGAGCTGGGTATCAACATGTCTCTATGGTAACACGTATAATCATATCCACAAGATAAGACGTGCACAAAGCAACTGGGATTAAAAGATCTGTTCAGCTCTCTGTGATCAGCAGCACCTCAAGAAAGAGTTTTACAAGTTTAAAACGTTTTTAAAACATGTGCATGTTTGTAATAAAGACAGTAAAATCGTTACATAATTCTTTACCACAGCTGCATAGTGTGTAAAATTATAAAAAAAGATGCATCAATCTCGTTTTGTGGACGTTAAATCAGGTTTATTTTGTACATTAACGTAACTGATACAGCAGTGTATATTAACATGTATCCTGTCACATCTGGCATGCAAAAACAGTGCAAATCTAAACGTGTGTGTGTTTGTGTGCACACGTGAACTTTATAACGACACAACGTGTGACTCATCGTTGCAGAAAGGCTTAAATTTACTCCACAGCAAATACATCAAACAACAGTTGAGATTTTTTCTGTAGTAAGGGCGATCTGCTTCATGCTTGTCTGTCACTGTGCTGTTTATCTATGTGAAGGCTACATGCACTAACATACATGTGGGAATGGCAGGTGGGGAGAACCAGCTCATTTGCTTTAAAGGTACAGGCAACAAAAACAGCTATAATAATCAGACAGCTTCTGAGATTTAAAAAGGTCTGATAAATAATCTGATGGGTATTTTGAGTTGAAACTTTACAGACACATTCTAGAGACTGAAAAACTTATATTAAATTTTAAAAAAGAAGTAAAATAGGTGCCCTTTAAAAAGTCCTAAATTCACAGAAATAGGATGTTGTAGGTCTTAAAGAATTTTTAACAAGTCTTAATTTTTCTTTGTCAATGTAAAGTTACTCAATCAGTACAACCAACAATTCATCTAAAAAACCTTTTAGATACAGTATTTAAAAGATGTGACTTAGATATAACTAAATCTTAGTTAGAAAAAAAATAAACTTTTCCACTGGCTTTTAGAAAAAAATCCTTTGCATTTAGCCCTGTATAAGTCTGAAAGTTACTTCATAATGGTCTTTAAAAGGTCTTAAGGTCTTAAATTTGACTTATTTTTATTCATTTATTTTTTTTGTCTTATTATTATTGACTGGTTATTTTTTGGGTGAACTATCCCTTTAAAATCCACACTCCAATCCGGCACAGTGCACTTGAGGAATGATTTTTTTTACTTCATGGCACATTCCCTGTTGAGTTGTGATGCTAGGCTTACCAAGCAGAAAGCCAGCAGCAGTTTATTGATCTAAATCCAGAGATTTCTATAGCCTTTTTTCACCAGAGAGTGAAAGAAATATTGTTATAGTAAAAAAAAAAAAATGCTGGGTTGTTGTAACTAACTGTAATTTGGGTAAAATATTAAAAAGCCCACAGCTGGTTTATAACAATTAAGCATTTTTTTTTAAAGTTAGTAGTATTTGGGAGATATAAATAAGTCACAAGTGTTAGATAAACTCTTTAACTATAAACTCTGAGAATTTAAAAAATATGTATATTAAATACTTTGACATGATTGTAGCATACTTTCAAATTGATACGCTCCTTGTTTAATGTACTGTAGCATGTTTTATGTATTTTTTTAAAGAAATAATTTAACAAAGCATGCACATCAATCTTAATTGATTGCTCAGCCAAACAGAAAGTATGCAAATACATATAAAAAGGTGTCAACACCAAAATATCTCACAGCGTGTAATGTTTTGAGCACAACGGTCTGATGAGAAGTCAATGTGCTCAAAACATTACACGCTGTGAGCTATTTTAGATGATTTATTTAAAAATAATTTCAACAGGTAAACAAAATACTCATCAATTCAATTCTTATTACTGGTGGGCTGATATTTTTGGCTCAAGGATGTCATGGATCATCTTCATGGATTTACTTGTATTGTTTTTTAGAGAGCCACCAATATTTTCAAAGTCCCAAAGCAAATTCCTCACACAACACTTTCTGCAATTTGACATTTTTCAGAAGGATAATTTTTTGTATGTTTATGGTCCCACGATGCAAGTTACTTCAGGATTACCATCCTTGAATGAAAGCAAAATCTGATCAATGCACACACACATAGTATCTGGGAGTGTGTGCTTGTCTTCATGGATCAATAGGCCAATCGAAAAACCAAAGGTGCGGTGCCTGGAGTGTGTCGGTCGATGCAGCTGACAAATGGACGCTTTCAGAGTTTCACTTATCTGTCAATTGTCACACAGCACGCTTATGCCATGTGCACCATGAATAACTCAACAGCAAATCTCATTCCGCATGGCCGAATTGGCTTTCATATTTAAAAACAGTTGTTCACCGGTAAAACCTAATTGGCCTGCTGGCAGATCATCAAATAAGTCTTCTAGCATAATGCTGAATTGCTAGATAGAGCTAATGCGCTATGCTCTGAAGGTAAACTGAAAGGACAGATATGAGTCTCATCTTACCAGCAAAGGTTTAAAAGAGTTCAAGTTCTATGTAGTAATTCAGAGTAGACTTTGAATGTAGTTTTTAGCACTGTACTGAGATCCTGTGTTGTTCTGAATAATACACTGTAACTATACTGTAGATGCCTGTTTCTGTCCTCTTACTGAGGGAGCGTTGCAGATGCACTAACTGGTTGCACACATTATGATTACAAAACAACGGCACATGAAAGGATCATCTACTCCCTCTTTTATCTTTCAAGAGTGCCATCCAATGAACACAAATTGAGCAGATATATGACAATAATAATAACTTGGCCCTTCATTTTAATGCAATCACAGTATGTCCATTCTGCTTGTGTGCTGTAATTAAAATATTTCAAAGCATTACAAACTGCTTTGTGTTATGAACAGAACAATGTTCATTTATCTATAACATCAATTATGGGATCAAATGAATTTTATGTCAAAAATTATGAACATTTCTTTAGAAATTATTAGAACTTGCATGAAGATATTTTGTGAATTTTTTACTGTAAATATATCATAACCAATTTTTGATTAGTAATATGCATTACTCAGACCTTTATTTGGATAAATTTATAGGCAATTTTCTCAGTATTTAGATTTTATTTTATTTTTTTACCTCAGATTTCAGATTTTCAACTAGTTTTATATCAGTCAAGTATTGGCCTATCCTAAAAAAAATATACATCAATTGAAGCTTATTTCAGTCCCTCCAGAATTTAGCGATTTTTGTGATTGCTGAATTTATCGAAAAATCAAGCAAACGCCACAAAAATCACAAAAAGATCTTGCATGTTTTCTGAAATGCCACAGATTCTTTTAAGAAAAGCCATAGCAAAATCAGTGATTTTAGGCCGCTAAAATTCAGTTCCACAAAATCCTGGAGGAACTGTTATTACTTTACTTTCATGTGATGTGTCCATAAATTGACACTTATGCTTTGTTGCACTTTACATTTGATGTTAAGGCAAAAAACGTTGCTATCTTCTTGGCCGACAGGGAACTATTCTAATTCCAGTAAAATAATCAAGGGAATTTGTTGCTGTACCATGGCTGCAGCAGGAGCAATTATATTATTCAGATTCTAACTGGTGGTGCAAGTGTAGGGCTTGGTGCAGGGGCCTACGTTCAGGAGCTGTGTAATATCATTGCACCTGCTGTAGCCATGGTACGGGAGCAAAATTCCTTGATATTGCCAGAAAGCAGTTTTTCATTTTGCATCAGTCTTAGTACATGTTGTAAGTGCAGAAGAGTTAAGCTTTAAATAGAAAAACTAACAAAATTATTTTTTGAGAGATGCTAATGGTGCAATCCGTTTCAGTGCACTATGCTACACTTAAAGAGCACATTTTTACCCCCTTTTAAAGATTTAATATAAGTCTTTTGTGTCTCCAGAATGTGTCTGTAAAGTTTCAGCTCAAAACACCCATCAGATTATTTATTATACCTTTTTAAATCTCGAAAATTTGAGTTGTTTGGACATTGTAGCTGTTTTTGTTGCCTTTGCCTTTAATGCAAATGAGCTAGGTCTCCCTGATCTCCGTTCCCACGTGCATGTCAGTGCGTGTAGCCTTCGCGTAGATAAACAGCACAGTGACAGACAAGAATGAAGCAGATCGTCATTACTACAGTAAGAACTTTTACAACTGTTATTTGATATTTGACTGTTGTTAATTCAAGCTTTCTGCAACGATGAGTCACACGCAATGTCATTATAAAGTATGCATGCAAGCATACACACATTTGGCTTTGAGACATAGTAATACGCGGCTGTCAATTAATTTGCTGGGCGGGCAAACCACACTCCACCCACCCACTCGTTGTGGTGGGCCAAAATGGTAGGGATTTGGATCCTATTTTAACATCAGAATTTTTTTTAAAAGAGACTTGTTGTGTTTCTATTACTCCATTTTGACTGTCGACACACTATACCTACACACAATCATCTTAAGATTTAAGACCCCACGGACACCCTGAAAGAGTGTACCAATCAATGCATGAAATAATGTAATTTATCGCACATGTCTGCGATATGAACACTGCAGATACTATTATAATGATAATAATAATTATGCCTCCTGGCCAACTATAGTCCCAATACGCACTTCCTGTAATGCTGTGACATTGCTATATCGATGCTAAAATGATATATTGTGCAGTCCTACTTCACACTCTTATCCTACATGTGAATGTGTGTGTGTTTGTGTGTGTGTGTGTGTGTGTGTGTTGAGAGAAGGGCTGTGACACAGAACATTATGGGCAGTACTTATTTGGACAGTACCTCTCCATCAATGCGGTGGCCTCTTGTTCTCTTTTCCTCCTCTTTCTCTCCGCAATTCCACGAAATGCCCTGCTGGGACCGGTTACAGTATTATAGATTGTGTGTGTGTGTGTGTGTGTGTGTGTGTGTGTGTGTGTGTGTGTGTGTGTGTGTGTGTGTGTGCAAGGAGCAGTGCAAGGGAAAAAATCTAAAGTGGTCACAGGAAGGTTCAAACCACAACAGGTGCCGATCACCACCCACAGGTCACAACTACACAAATGATCACAAACTAAACACCACGACCACAACAAAGTCAAGTGTAACAGACACTCAGTCACCAACCAGCACAGAGGGTAGATTCGCAGATAGTGGTGACATCTTTGTGGAAGTGGTTCTCTTACGCATCTATTGTTTTTGACAGAGTGACAGAAGATATAGTCATCATCATTGACAGCTTATGTTAAATCAAACTCCTGTCCTCGGCAGATGAGGTTAATGACAGCCCAGAAGCTACGGCCTGACAGCGTGTGTGTGCATGTAATTGCGTGTGGATGTGTCTATGTGACTGCATCCTGAAATCCTTCAGAGCCTTGACAGATTGGCGACGGTTTTGGAGCACTGCGTGCAAATCTTGAGATGAGTGACTTTTCTGGGGTATACTTGGGCTATATTTGTATATTTTGTGTGCAGTTTTTAACACACCGATGGCAGGAATCATCTTATTCCTCCCTCCAGTCCACCACTTTGTCATAATTTTAAATAAACCATCCATTACAGACAATATTAGACCTTGGATCTACATATATTTGCAACTGTCTACCTATATCTTATTTTTGGACATTGTAGGCAGGCTCTAGACAATGTTAGACAAGGTAAGATTTCTATAGATGTTTTGATTCAAATGCATTTCATTTCATTACTAGATTATTTCATTCCGTTAAAAATGCTAACTCAATTTTATTTTATGTTATGGTCCTTAATGGGTCCTTATAATCACTATATTATTAAGCCCCGGTCAGATTACACAAATTTGTTACAATTTAGGCACGATTTCCTTGATGTAGGGTGTGGTGGGGATTCGTAAACAACAAATGGGCATCGTGACACAAGATTTAAAAGTTTCTTCTCATGTACTGTAGCGTGGCCTAGTTCATGACAACCAATACCATGCTTGCGATGCCTCACAACACCATCACTGAAAGTCTAGCATGTTTAATCTTTTCTCGTTCTTCATGATGAGTTCTATCATATGGGTGACACGGTGCAATAGGAGCACATCATTTCTTGGTTATCTCAGTGGGTGCGCTGGTCAGGTAATCAAAAAATAGGCTGCATAATTACTTATGGGTGGGTCATGGGTGGAAATGATCAATCATTGGTGATGCAAACTTGAACAATTTTTCTAAAGTATTAAGATGTTTTAAGCAATTTTATCTGACAGACTGGCACAAATATGCAAACATCTCCATTCTCGCATGAGTTTCTGAGTTCTTTCATCCTTTCAACAGAGTTTGTTTTTCCGAGGTAATCTGTAAACATGTTCAGAGCTGCAAATACATTGCAAAAGCATTTCCTGCTTATTAAAATGTGTCATTAACAGTGAAAACTATGTAATAAAGGCTTCTCTGAAACTGTGAATATTTTACGTTAATTTTATTTAAGCTGGATTATTATTATAGCAAACAAACACAATCTCATGGCAATTCATGTTTTATATATATATATAGCGTACTTGTTTTCATAACTGACCAACAAAAGACACATTAAACGTAAGTGAAAAATGAAAGCAAACAAAATTAATTTCAAAAAGATTATTTTTCCAAGAGAAATATACAAATTATATTTTTGTTTTTGCACCTCCACTACTCAACAATTTGGGTGGATGATTTGTTTTGCTCAGAGGAAAATAAGGATTTAATGAATGCTTCACTGTGATTGCATCACAAATATCAGTTATATATTTGCATATTTTTTAATATGCCATTTTTTTAAAGATTATGTCTTGAGCATGTAATTTTTCTTTGGCACTGCTTACGTGCTTTCATTTAAGTCTCACTCGTGGCAAGTTCAGGTGAGTGATTGTTTAATAAGAAACCCATGGCAGGAAAATATACGTTTAGATTTCAAAGAAAATATCTTAATATTAAAAAGAAATAATAAGTTTGATCCTATCCATGTCATAATGAATGCCCTTAAATAATGTAGTTATTAGCTGTCTGCAAGCATCAGTGTTTACTGAGATTGAAATAAGATTTAAAAAATTTAAACTGAGAAAAGAAATATCGCTATAGCAAAGCTTGTAACTGCTTTGAGAAATAATACGTGTTGTAGACGTCAGGGGATGACTAATCGTGAAGGAACGCGCAGTCTAGCACATTTGTTTGCCACGACAAGTCAAGATTTATCAAGAAAAAAAAACGCATGTTCTGACTTAGTGATTTTCATACCCGACAATAAAAATCATGTGATCTGAACGGGGCTTGAGTGTTACTGCATTGGTTGCATTAAGACACATTTTGAATAAGTTTACATTGGTCTGAATTCAGATTAGCATACTATTTTAGTAGGATCTGTTGCTAAACCATAAGATATACAGTAGTCAACATCTGAGCTGGAGTTTTGATCCATTTCAGATGTTGATGACTGTAGTTCACTTTTTATGCATACTTGACTGTCTGAGTACTGTGCATTTAGAATAGTACAGTAGGTTGCATTTTTTGAAGGTTGCACATTTAACTTTTTTGCAGTAATTAGTTTATCCAAAATGTAGCAGCCATGCCTTGGGAGGATAAATTCACACTTAAGTCACAGAAAAAAAAAGCATAAATAAGAGAGGCTGGAATGCAATGCACATGCGTAGAATATCTGTGGATGCATATGGGTCATATTAAGCCTATTTTGTGGGTAAATTTAATCTCAGTCAAGTCAAGTTCACCTGTATATTATTACACATACTGCTTTCTCATTAATGTCCTCTTTTTCTTTGTAGCATAAAAAAGATTCCAGATTATAGTTTTCCATTTCAGATATGATGTTGGGGAATGGACAGCAAGGAAGCTTACTCGGTTTTGGTACAGAGCATGATAAATAATTAGTGATTAAAACCCCAAAAGTTTCAAACGTCAAATCATTATATCACAACAGAAAAGTAACACAGCAGCTGAAAGCTAATTAGCAATGCTGACCAGTATTATTAGTATACTCTATTTGTATATAGTGAGCAGTATGTGTGGTATCAGACAGAGTTCCTCTATAACTTCAAACACTCTGTCCAATGCTGGTGGAGTGAGAGTTAACACAGGACAGGAGAGACAGCGGCACAGAGGAGAAAAGGGTGGGAATGGAGTAGAGTGTTGACTTTTTGAAAACAGTGGCGTAATGAGAAAGATATACTCACGATATTCTTTAGACCCAAGGAAAGATGCAAAATAAAAAGAGATCAAAGAAAAGAAGCTTTAAAATAGTACAATCTAAACAAATAAAAAGCAAGTAAAATTTACTGAAAATACTGTGTTTCAAATATAAACACTGGGCCAGGTTTTGGAAAGGATTGCAAAGTGCTTTATCACCACCTATTACAGTCAATTATTACAAACATGGCAAGTCTATAGCGAACTGCAACTGACAACATCGACATTTCATACAAAACTGAAAAGGTTGTAAAGTCAGGTGTCAAAAATATCATTACGGAAAGTGAATCGATGATAAAAAGAGGGATACAGTGTACACAAGAAGGGACTCCAGATGATGGGAGGGAAGGTTAAGAGGAAAACAACATACATGTTAGCTAGGGGGGAAAGGAGTGTTGGACTGCACCCTAGTGGGGGGGCTCTGTGATTAAGACTTCTGCTCGACAGGAGATAATTAAGCAGTCAGGCTGAGCGAAAGCGCCTGTCCGCAGAGAATAATGAAGCACGGATTCTCTCAACTGAAAAGTTGAAGAAAAAGAAAGAAAGAAATAGATGATAGGAAAAAGAGAAAAATGGAAAGACTAAAATGAAAAAGAAGAAGTAGAGGGAGAGGAAAAAGATGAATAAAAAAATAGGAAAAGGAATACAATGTATTCCCAAAGACCCAAAGTAACAGTTCAGAACAAGAAATGGAAAGAATGGCAAACAAAAAAATGAGGTTAAAAGGGGAAAGGAAAATAAATGATAAAAGAGAGTAAAAGACAGAGGAAATAAAATGAAGGAAGGAACTGGGCAGAAAAACAATAAAATAATGAAAAACGAAAAATAAATAAATTATTAAAAAAAGAAAGGCAACGGTAAAGATGGAGAGACACAGAAAATGAAAAGAGGTAGTAATGAAATAAAAAATTGGAAGAAACAAAAAGGAGACAGAGGAAAAAAATAAGAAAATAAGAGAAAGCACAAAAGAATCAGACAAAGAAGAATGACGTAAAAAAGAATGAGGAAAGCAGAGAGAGAAAAGAAACCATGAGGATCAGCAAAAGAACAAAAACTAAAAAGTGGAAAAAGATAAAGGAATAAAGGAATAGGTAACAGGGGAACAACAGAATGAAAGGAAATGAAAAAAAGAAGTAAAGTGAAAGAAAGATGAAAGATTACCTCCTGTCCTCCCACATGCATGAGTCAGGATAGCTTAAATTACATGTCTGCTTCATAGACCTACCCTACTCCAGAGGAAGCTGAAGGATGGAGAAAGCGGTTTGATTAAATGATTTCCCATGTGTACTCACGCTTGCATGGTGGTGGTCGCAGTCTGGAAGCTGAACATGTTCTCTTTAGGAAACCAGCTGTTCGTGTGATCCTCTGCAAACAAAACAAGACAGCCTAAGCAAAGGTCGAAGGTATTGTGTAAATCTCAAAGTGAATTCACCACAAAACCTGCTGATGTTCTTACCTCGATCTTCAGAGGACACGCGGTCCTCGCTGTACATCCTCTCTAGCTTCTTGTGCTGTTTGCCACCACCGTGAGGAGATGTATCAAGGTCTAGTGAGCGCTGACTCTGGCAATGAGGTCGAATGCAGGCCACACAATCGGGTGTGCAATCCTCCCTTGACCTGCTCCGCCTCGACCCCCAGTCCCGAATGTTATGGGTGCTCCCTGAGCTCTGCAAAGGTTGTGCCATGGGTGCATGACCGTAATGATGCTGGTGGGTGGGGCCGTTGTTCCCACGATGTTGGCTTCCTCGATGATGGCTTCCACGTAAACCTGTTGGAGGGTTGATCTGTGATGGCTCTGATGTCCTCTTCAGAACCTCTAACTCCAAACTCTCCTCGCTTCCCTGGCCCCCAAGCATATCTCGCTCCCTGGTAATGGTGTAGACACGTGCTGGCTTCACAGAACTCTCGGTACGCCTCTGATTCTGCTGATCCTCAGAAGAAAGGCTGCGTTCTACGGAGAGCCGCCGCTTGGAACTTGTAGGAAGGGGTGCAGACTGACTGCCTTGCTGAAGCTCTTCTTGACTGGGCTTGACTATTAGAGTGTGTTGGGAGTATGGCTGGAGGCTGTTATTGTTGTTCAGTCTGCTAATGTCTGGGGAATCTGTCTCCTGACCAATGAAGGTGTCAGATAGCAAGTGATCTGAAATGAGAGACAGAAGAAAAAGGGAGAAAGTTTGATTTGTCCTGTCAAAGCAACAGGTGCCTGTAAAATGCAATGATCAATCAAATGTTGACTGGGTGAATGGTCTGAGGTGGAACTGACACTGAGCCTAAAGGATAATGCTTCACCTACTACAAAGACTGAGACACTCAAGTACGTCACAACAAACTGCAAAAACAAAAATGTGAGGACAAATTGTGGAAGAACATGAGGTGAAATGAACCCAACCTGATCTGTTGCGGTTCTCAGGGTGTGTGTGAGAAAGGTACTCTCCAAATGCTCGAGCTGCTCTGCAGAGAGACAAACAGAAGACCAAATCAAAGCATGGAGACAAAAGTCTCGGTCTTGATGTACTTTACCTCTTAAAGTCAAGTGCTATTTTGGGCTTTCTGCCTGGATTTGGCCTACCCAAATTCAAAAGCTTTCCAAATCCACATGCAGAGGTGTAAATGGAAAAGTTTGGTATCATTTTAAAGAAAACCTTTTGAATTTTCATAAAACACTGTTAAAGGTGGTTAAAATAATCAATAATAAAGTTCTATTCCAACTCATGTGAGAACAGAACCACTTATGGGGGTATTGGGCCAGTATGGACCTTTAAAATTTAAAGAATGCGGAAGTAAATGATGTCACGGACTCGGTACCGAGATCTTAGTAGTCATTCTAAATTAATTTGTTGAATCTGATGTCACACCACATCACCATTTTCAGGTCCAAACACTCCTGAAAGCAAGCAGCAAACAGTGATAATATACTGTTACAGCCTTTATTGGCACACCAAATCTCAGTTGGCAACATGTACAGTGCTCAGCATAATTGAGTACACCCCATTTTGAAAATGAATATTTTTCTCCATTTCTCAGTGAATATAGCAATGTACTTTGGTCCATTTAAGCAAAACAGATTTATTAAGCAGATATATTTACTGAAATAATATTTTAGTCACCAAAAATATTTAGAAATTAAAAGATAATACAATTAAATTCAAGCAAAATAAAAATAAAAATACAACCTAAAAAAAATCAACTAATTTTTTACATTTTATTTGCTTCTCTGATTTTTCCAATTTTTTAAATTTTATTTTATATTTTTATTTAACATTTGGGTGTACTAGTTTTTGGACCATTATCCTAAGTCATTTTTTTAGATTTGAATTCAGTACTGACTAATCTAATGTATATGCACAACTATAATATTGTATAGCTTCCTATTAAAAATATGAACTTAATTTGTGAGGGGTGTACTTATAAATGCTGAGCACTGTACATGTATCTTTTAAACTGATGAAAACACTGGTGTCCAGGACACTTGAGCTCAGAAAATGAGCTGTTTCGATAGTCTACAGAACAAACCATCGTTATACAATAACTTGCCTAATTACCCTAACCTGCCTAGTTAACCTAATTAACCTAGGTTAGCTTTTAAATGTTTAAAGCTTTAAAACTTTAAGCTGTATAGCAGTGTATATTATTGTTATTATTATTATTATTATTATTATTATTATATAATATTATTTATCATGTCATCATGGCAAAGATAAATTAAATCAATTATAAGAAATGAATAAGTAAAACTATTTAGAAATTTATTTAAAAATGTGTTGAAAAAATCTCTCTGTTAAACAGAAATTGGGGAATAAAATAAACAGGGGGCTAATAATTCTGACTTCAACTGTATCTCACTGGAACACTAGCGTTAGAGCTGCAGTCAGTACTGACAAGTCTCAATACTTGATTTCCGACTTTGCAAAGCAAAAAGCTACAGGTATAACTATATAATTTATTTCCTATATCTAAAAAATGTGAACATAAAAACACTAGATACTATCTCATAATACAACTACAGTCACCAAATCTGCAGATGCTATCGGAAAAATGCAGAAAACTCCAAGTCCAATTACTTCCCTGGTCAACGAGGTGTAAAGCAGTGAATAAAATCTATGCACACAGCTGACTTCCAGCATGAAGACAACCAGCAACTGTGGTGTGAGAACATTATAAAGGGAACAATAGGAAGTCAGGTAGAGGAGTTGGTTAAAAGGAAGGAAAAGGAAACTGCTTTATGAGTCAAACCATGTGTCGTCAGCAATAAAAGACAGAGCTCTGTGTCCTACATTGATATACCTTCCTCTCACTTAACCAGTAGGATGACCTTTATGCAATGTTTTCAATGTGTATGTGTGTGTGTGTGTGGTTATGCCACTGAAAATGCTTTGCAAAATGGTGAAGTCAATAGAAAACAACAGAAAATGCATTTATATGCACTACCGATGGCCCTTGCAATCAGCATATTGTGGATGATTTATGAAAAATCATTAATGCATTCAAAGAGCTGCCAGATTCCATTATGAAACGCGTCACTCCATCTCTTAACCACGTGAAAGATTTACACAGTATTCCCCCTTCCTGTGTGGCTCAGCAAGAACACTACTAATGCTGCCTAATTACTCGCCAGTGCTGGGAGAGTACACTGACTAGCATGTACAAATGAAAAATTGTACCTAAGCTGTATAACTCACCTTGTCAATTTAATTTCGTTAAAGCAGTGAATTACACCTACCCACACCACTGTTTCTCCTGCCTAAGCTCACTAAAATGGAGATTCTAACATGCATGAATAAACCCGCCTCCACCCATGCACCTTAAAAAACGTGCAAGCCCCACAAATGTACACTGGTGAACTCAACGAACTGACAAGCACCTCCTTGAGCACACAAACCCCTAATCAGCACGCTATGAGCAAATTGTGCAGTCTTGGCACCTCTCTAGGGATGCTGGAAAATGGGATGGCTCTGTTGTTGGGAGTACCCATGCATTCGTGCAACGACACTTTGAATAATTAAATACTAGCCAGCATGTGCATCTCTCTCTCCTCACTCAACAAACTTTTCTAGCAGATGGGAAGATGAGTGCAAAGAAGAATTCTCCAATCACTTTTTCATCATCTCAGTGTCACTTCCAAGTGTTTGGTGTTTGGAGAAACTACAAAGCTTTTTAGAGTGAGAGTGGCTTATCAAAAAATACTACAGGGCAGGGGTGGATTAAAACTAAAAGAGAACGCTTGGTCCATGCCGACCAATCGAAACCCACAGCATTTGTGTTATGATGTACTGTACTCTTTGGTGCTCATAAAACTAACATATTCTGCTTTCAGTAGATGAGGAGACGTGTGTGCAGACAGATATCAGAGAAAATGGGATGGTGCATGACACAGAAAATGTTTCAAGCCAAGACTAAAAATCATATCCAGTGTAATTGGAGGCTACAATCATGCAAACCTGCAATTAATGTGTGACAGATAAGTAGAGTCATGTCTGAGAGCAGTACATCAGGATCTGAAGTTCAAATGAACCATTCTAGTCGAACATTTTGTCGGTGTAAATCTTTGTGTAGTTAAACTCTTAGGACATTTGGATCTTATCTGTTAAGCGTACAAATAGATAATAAATCATCATTATAGTTGAAATTGCATATACAAAATATTAATGTGAAATTGAATTGAAATTAGTTGCCAAAAAGAGTACCCATTATAAGCCAATGGGGTCACTTGGGACCTAATGGAGACCCAACTTCTAATGTCTCACTGGGGTCCAAAATCCCAGTAGTCCCAAAAGTCAAAACAGTCCTGACTGTTCAGGACAGACTATAGTCATCCAAGGCCCTATTGCAGTGCTCGAAATTGCAACCGTTTTGGTCGCATATGGGCCCGAAATTATATGCGACCTCAAAACATATTTGGGGAGTATTTGTGCCAGTGCATAAAATTGTTGCAGTGCGACCAGTTTTCACTGCATGCACGTATTTACTTTACATCTAAAAACCAGCTGAAAGCAGGTCTAAAGTCCAGCGCAGAGTATGTTAGTTATGTGCCTTAAACACGTACACATTGCTTAATACACACAGGATGTGCAGCAATATACAACTATCTTTGTGAATGAAAACAGAATTAAAGGATTGAAATATTACAAAGATTATTTTCTACATTAATATATAAACCACTGCCTCCGTGCCTTCTTTATCTCGGGAGGCTTTTTCAGTTTATTCATGACAATTTGCATTGGTAAAATGTTATTATTATGATTAGTAGTAGTATTTATTATATGCATATTTATATTTGTTTTAAAAAAACAAGCTGAGAATAGTCCACCCGTCAGGTTTTGGACCATTTGAGGCATAGCACGTGTGTTTGGATATAACTCAGTTTTTTGACCACAATTCCTTACTATTGTTTATTTATTTGTTTGCCACATCTTATTAGTGATCGTATGATGAATGTTAATCTATTTACACTTTTCGAAGAGTAGATAACGACTTCCAGTGGGTTAAAGTCCGCTAGGAAAATGACTAAAGCCATTCACCCTAAGGTCTGAGGGACTGAGTTTCCAGGTAACAGGGTTTGCCACACATTTAAGCACGAGGTGTTCTATTTAATCTTTAATTTAATAATCAAAATGTTGTCAGTCCTGCAACAGCAGCGCATACACCCTCGCAAAAGGGCCTGCATTCACTAAGAATAAATGAATATTGTAGATCATGAAAAGACCGTTATTGCTATTAAGATGACGTAGCAAATAATAAGTTATATGCCATTATCATCTGCACAAGATCAGACACCACCTGTGAAAAAACTATCCTTAACATAATGAATCTCATTCACATCAAGCAGTGCATGCAGATTTTTTTTAAATGCAATAAATCTATTAATATAAAACTTGTAGTAACGGTGCACATAATTTGTAGTGTGTGCGACTACATTTTTGCTAATGCGCCTAAATTTAGGAGCACCAGCACAACAAAGCAAAAAGGTTAACGTCAAGCCCTGCATTGGGCAATAGTTAATATCGATATGTAAATGTACATATACAATAATAAGTTGTGGAAAAGAAAATACTTTTTATGATTTAGCATAAATCTAATTTTCAACATCACATCTAGGTGTTAAAAATGTATTGATGATCCTGAAGACAGAAATGGAAAGGGTAGCATTTCTCATGTCTTCATTTATCTTAATAGTCACTGATACACATTCACGCACCGCTTATTTATTTATCGGATTTTTCCATTGGCAATGACTCAATTCAAAGTGTCAGACAACTGTGCTCCTCGCAGCTGAAGATCCCTGACAGTGAATATGCCCCCAGGACTGGCCCCATTGGCTGTTCTCTAATCTAACCTTTGTTAAAAATGCAAGGCGTGAGGCAGGGAACGTGATACCTCACCCCATACCTTCACTAATGAATCACTGAACCTTAAAACTGCCTGCGCTTGTCCACTCTAGGTGATTGATTTGT